ATTTTAACAGTTAATATTTAAGTTTATTTATTAATTAATAGTTAAATTTATAATAGTTTTATTAATACTTTTAATTAATAATTTAAATAAGGTTTAAATAATTTAATTAAAAGATTTAAATTATTTACTTATTAATTATTAGTTAATTTAGTTAAGTTTTAATATTTATATAATATAATATAATATAATGCGATATAGTTTTATTTATAGTTTTATTGAAAGTTTTATTTTAAGTTTTAGTAATTATATTATTTATTAATTATTAAGTTAATATAATTTTTAAGTTTTTAATATTTTTATTTAATTGATATATATAAAATATAATAAAATTTAAAAAGTATTATTATAATTATTATGATTTATTTGATTATAAGGATATATGTAAAGGTTATGGCGTTATTTTAATTAGTTAAATATTAAGGGATTAGATTGGCTTTATTAATGCGTAAAAAAGAATACGGTAGTAAAGTCTAGCGAAAGTACTAGCAGTTATTATAAGTTATTTTTAAAGATATTTGAAAATAGTTATATAATGTTTTTTGGGTTATATTTTACCTAGTATATAAGACGATTAAAAAAGTTAAATATAAAAGAGGTAATTAGTTAGTTAATTAGTTAGTTAATTTATTAGTTAATAAGTTTATTACAAAGAAAGTAAGAGTTTAGTTAATATTGAGGTTTATTTAAGTTAAATTGAGATTAAAATACTAAAAAAAGCAAATAGTTAATTATAAGGATTATTTTAATATAATATTAAAAAGGAAAAAAAAGAAATTAGTTAAGTTTATCGCAAAAGAAGCTTATACAATCTTTTATACGTTTATTATATATTTAATTTGTTAATAAATATTATAATTGGACCTAATATTTTAAAGATAATTGATTAGTAGATCTTAGTTAAGTTAAATTATATGGTATATAAATTTAAAATTTAAAACTTAATAAAACTAATAATATTAAAGATATTAAGATAGCGATATTAAGTAAGTCTTAATTAATAGTTTTAATAGCCGAGGTAATGTAAATTTTTTTTTTTTTAAGGTTTTGAATTTGATTTTTATATGTATTGTTTTTTTTATATAGGGTTTAGCTTTTGTTTTATGGGTTGAATTTGATTTTGTGGCTTTGATTAAATCTAAAAAAGAGGTATAAATAAGGGTAGGGTATTATATGATTTTATTCCTAATTATGTAATAATAATCTTAATATAAGTACTTTTTATGGTTGTATATATCTATTGTAGATAGTTTTTTTTATAATGAGTATATTTTTTTTATTTCTATTTATATATTTTATAAGATTATATTTATAAGTCTTTGGAATTAGGTTTATAAGGGTTTAATATTAAAGCTAAGGCTATTAGCCTTGTTTAATATATAATTTAATTATTAAAAAACTTAAAAATTAAATTTTAACCAAATTAAATATTATAAATAATATTTAAATATTTATATTAATAAGATTTAATAATAATATAATAAATATTAATAATTTAAATTTTAATATATTTTTTATTATTAAAAATAATAAATAATAATATTATAATTTTATAAAATTAAATAATTACTATTTTTTTTAAAAAAATAATATCAATTTATTTAACGTTAAAAATATTAATTTTTAATAATATATAAAATATAAAACTTTAAATAAAAATAATTTTTTATAAAAATATTACAATAATAAATTTATTATTATATATTTTTTTAAAATAAAATTATATAATAATATATTTTAATATTATAACATAATTTTTTATAATTTTTTAAATAAATATTAATATAATTTTTATTTAAATTTTAATATTTAAATAATAATATTATATTTAAATTTTATTTATAATAATATAAATATAATTTA